GGTACGCTTCATGCACTTGGTTTGACTGTAACATACTTCAAGTCATTTTCAATTTCCGTAAGAAAGGGTTGATCTTTTGTACAATGTCACGATGACAATGGATTCTACCATTAACAGGGTTTGATATTTACAACAGAAATCAACTCTGTCCTCTACCTTGACTTCGAGTAAGAGCATTTTTATCGTTCATCGTTCTCGGAGTCTCTCAGGCTCTCTTCTTAGAGCGCTAAAAGATAAAACCACTGGAAGACAATCGATCAACGAAGGAGACCGAGTGACTTGGGCGATATATCTGGCACTTCATTGCTTTCTGTTTTAGTTGTCCTCGGCTTGAACATTGCTGTTCATTGGGAATCTCGAATGTGCAGTACACTGAGTATGACTTCCAATCTCTTGTTCCACGTTGGATTGTCAGGCTTGATTCTGTCTCACATCCTGGTGCTTGGTGTCCAAGATTCACATTCTTAGAACAATTTCCTTGGTATCTTGTTTTTTCTTTTTCTTTCTTTTTTTTTAATTTAGCTTTGATTGAAATTTCAGTTGTAAAGAAGTTTTGACATTAGTTAAGGAACTGGAAGACCAATCGTAAGTTAAAATTTGTCGTTCAGGATGCTAACGTTCGACCACTGATAACTGCCATGATGGCCGTCGGACACGGGCTCCAGGCTTGGGTTAAAAACAAAGCGTGTCGCATAAAGTTGATAACATTTCCAAAGGTTTACAAATGGTTTATGGTCTATCAAAATAATGATCGTTTGTCCTGAAAGAGGGAACTGCGTCCGCAGCTCAATTCTACATGAACAAGAGAGAGCCAGGATGAGTTGCAAAAAGCATAAAATTAAGATGGCAAAGGCAACACGGCCTACAGTCACAGTGGTATACCAGGATGGTAAGATTCAGTTGTGTGGCAAATAATGGCAAACCCATTTGCTGCATCAGCTTTCCCGATTGTGGCCTTTTGAAAGCGGGGAGGCGGTGAATGCGATAATTTTAATTCATTTTTGGCTCTTTTCTCCCATTCTATTTTCCGAGGTTCCTGGAACCTTAACTGCCATCGCACATGAAGGTGAGTACTTTGGTTACCATAACGACCGCATAACCTAAGATGATTTTGAAACTGGACTGGACTGAGTAAAGGTTAACCCTTTGAATACCAACTACGCATATAT